GTGTGTGTGTGTGTGTGTGTGCATGTGTGTGTAGGTGTGTACGTGTATGCACACACACACACACACACACACCCATGCGTACATATACTTGGACGAGGTGAATCGCCTTGCGTGCTGCTCTAACCAAGGCCATGGTAAGTGCGCTTCTAGGTGGCTTCCCCGCCGAGATACACCACTGGAATGATACAGGCTGTTGCGATGATGTCGATGACACATATGCATATAATTTGGTTCCATTATTATGCGTTATTGCGTTAACGGATTCAAAAATGACAATCCTCTCATTGTATATCGATTCGTGATTATTATTCCCATTATGCACTGACACCCGGCTCGTTGCCTAGTAGGTATATACTGAATAAATGATGATGTATGTAATGAATGGGAAGTGGAATATATTTTGATACACGATTAATAAACCTGATTCAGAAACGAAAACAAAAGTCTCCAGCAAGGTAAAGAATAGAAACCTGTAGACTCTTTTATATTACTATTATTATTATTATTATTATTATTATTATTAAATACTTTATATCTCTTTCAAAATTGCCACCTAAATAAACTTCCAAAACAGTATAATCAAAACATAACATCTCCAGGACCTTCAGGGAACGTACATCGAAAAAGAAAAGAAAAGAAAAGAAAAAAAAAAAAAATCTATATTTTACTAACAATCAATTAATCATTGGTTAACGATTCGCTGATAACTCGCTAACCGCCAACTAACCCTTCACTAATAAGTCGCTAACAATTCGCCAATAAATCGCTAACAACTCGCTAATGAATCGCTAACAATCCGCCAATATTTCACCCACAGTATCCGGACTAAAATCGCCGTCAACCTCTCGACCAGAAAGAAGGGTCGTCTCCCACAGATAATATGTACGTTGCCCGCCGCTCGACCGTAAATGCGACGCGTAAATAAGCATTTGACTAATAAATTCACCGATTAGGACAGGATTCGGTGTACTCGAAACCAGGGCGAATGTGGAGTAACTACTGGGGGGGGGGGGGTTGGAGTGGGGGATGGATGGAAGAGGGAGGGAGGGAGAGGGAGAAGTAGAGAGGGAAGAGAGGGTAAAGGGAGGGAAGGGGGGGATGAGTAGGAGAGAGAGAGGGAGAGGGAGAGACAGGGAGAGAGGAGAGGGGAGATGGAGAGGGTGAGTGGGAGGTAGGGAGAGGGAGGAGGGAGGGACGGAGGGAAGGATATAATATATAAATAAAGAGAAAGAAGGAAAGAGAAAGAGAGAGTGAATAGGGTTTACTGAGGGATATTATGTGATTTGTTAGAGGGAGAGATTGGGGGTTGGGAGAGAAAGAACGGATTGGTGGATAGATAGATACATAGAAATACAGATAGACTCACACTCACACATACTCACAGAGAGAGAGAGAGAGAGAGAGAGAGAGAGAGAGAGAGAGAGAGAGAAAGGGGGATAAAGTGAGAGGGGGGGGTTGG